AAATGGCAAGCAGGCTATAATAGGAATGTACAAATGGTACATTAGGGGCCCAGAAGAGAAATTATATAACTTGACTTGGGGTGATTAGGAAAGGTTTTATGTAAGAAAAATGATATTTGAATCAGGTCTTGCTACCCCAAATGAGGTAAAGGGTGAAGCTTCTCAGAGACAGAATGAAAATGTGGGCAGTTTTAAAAAAATCATGAAGGGCATTTTGGTAGCCCAGGTGGCCGTAGTGGTAAAGAATCCACCTGCCAATACAGGAGCAAGAGACTGGAGTTCAATCCCTGGATCCGGGAGATCTCCCAGAGGAGGAAGTGGCCACCCACTCCACTAATCTTGGTTGGAAAATCCCATGGACAGAGGAGCCTGGCGGGCTACAGTCTGTGGGGCCAACTGTTGGACACTACTAAGTGACTGAGGTCACAGAGCATAGGGACCCAAGAAGTGGTGTGTGTGTGTGTGTGTGTGTGTGTGTGTGTGTGTGCATGTGTCTGTGCATGTGTGCACGTGTATTCATATGCATGTTCATGCATAGGCACCACAATGGTGGAATAAAATGAGGTGTTGTGATCCATGGAAAACTGAAGAGAGTGGACATGGGTAGAACTTGAATCTAGAAAGAAGCTGAAAAGTCTCCCACACGGGGAAGTGTCATGAAGAGACTGCAGATCTCACCCTTAGGAGATCATGGACATGTGATCCTTAGGGGATTGCGAGAAGCCTTGTGCTTCTCTACACATGATGATTGTCCTGGGGGTGAAAAAGGTCCCCACCCCATCCCAGCCCTGCCATGCGGAGCCCCAGACAGACGACAGTGGCACAGCGCAGCCACGTATGTGGCCTGGACCCCACTTCACCTCTCCAGACACACTTCTTTGCACAATCTGAACCACATGTGCTTCCCATTAGCACTTACAATTCCCTGGAATTCCTGAATAATCACAGTTGGCTCCAAATTTGGTAGGACACTTTTCAGGACAATTGGCTATTGTGGTTTGGCCAGCAAGAGACACGTCTGGCTGAACTGGAAGATCCACAGGTGACCTGTGATGAGCCTCCCCTCCCCTCACTCTGCTCCCAAAGTGAACATCAGTGAAGTGTAACACACAACAGCCTTCTGTCCTAGCAGGAAGGGAAGAAAGTCTGCTCTCCCCGATTCTCCTCCTCCCTCCAAGCTAACTTCTTCCCAATTGACTTGAGTCTGGGTTCAGTGGCTCAGGACTTCCACCTGGGTCCCCAAGCTCATTTGGTGTAGCTTAACTTCTTCTACTTTCTTTCCTGATGTACTTCTGGATTCTAGGAGTTCTTTCTTTCCAATGGGACATGTTATAGATCCTAGTATTCAACATGGCCCCAACTGCATTTCTTGACTCACACCTTATCCCAAACCTGTGAAGCTCTATTTGCTCAGCCGTGTCTGACTCTTTGAGACCCCATGGACTGTAGCCAACCAGGCTCCTCTGTCCATGAGATTCTCCAGGCAAGAATACTAGAGTGGGTAGCCATTCCCTTCTCTGGGGATCTTCCCAACCCAGGGATCAAACCCGAGTCTCCTACACTGCAGGTGGATTCTTTACCGTCTGAGTGATCAGGGAAGCCCTGCTGCTCTAATGATACGCCCAGTGTGCTCCTGAGACTATCGAACAACCGGCATAGCAAGGGTGCAGATCAATCAGTCATAAACACACTGCACAGCAGGAATGATGCGTACACGCCGACATCAGTTCTGGTCAAACTTCTGCTGAAGATCTTTGTTTCCACTCAGCATATCCAAAATGAAGACCAACCTTTCCATCAAGGCAGGATAAGTGCTGATCTGCTAGATGTCTAGTTTGTCAATTTCATCTCCTGTCTCTCCCCTCCTTTCCCCACATACAAGCATATCTTTTGCATCAGTCACACTGAACATTTTATTCCAACTCTCACCCCACCACAGGGCCTTTGCACAAATTCTTCCCACTTCTTAAGATGTCTTTCCTCCTCTTTCTAACCAGGAAACTCTTACCTATCCTTCCAAAATCACCTAAACTATATCATCTTTTGGAGTAGACTTTGCCCACCACTACTGCCATGGATGTGGTGTTTCTGTATCATCCTCTGTAGCCCAGAATGCTGCTGTATTGCAACAAAATATTTATTGTCCACCTTTGTCCCTGAACTTGGAGCAACTTCAGGACACAGTGAGTCTTTTTTTCTCTGCAGCTTTGGAGCCTAATGAAGAGCATGAGAGGCTTCCCAGGTGGCTCAAGTGGTATAGAATCTGCCTGCCAATGCAGAAGACGTGGGTTTGATCCCTGGATCAGGAAGACCCCCTGGAGAAGGAAATGATGAGCCACTCCAGTATTCTTGGCTGAGAAATCCCATGGACAGAGGAGCCTGCTGGGCAAGAGTCCCGTGTGGTCCCAGGGAGCTGGACGTGACTTAACAACTGAGTACACACAAAAAGAGCATATGACACATAGCAGGTACTTAATGTATATTTGTTACAAGAGATGGATCAATAAACAGTCCACATTCTTGGCTTTACCTGAGCATGTCACATAGAAATTCACCTGCCCTAGGCACATTCTCAAAAGCATGCTAAATAAACAATTTTGAGCTGAGATGCAAATTGATGATGTGTTAGGATTATTTCCATTCCTCTCACCATTTACATATTCAACAATGTTATCTTCTTGACCCTCAAAGCAATGAAAAAACAAACAAAAAAATAGAAAGAAACAAAAGTATTATGCCATCCTCTATTTAAGAGTGGGAACACTGAATATGGGAGAAGTTAAGAGATGCTTTCAACTTGGATTTGAATTCAGTGTCTTTGTTAGTTCCCTCAAACTTCTCGTGTGTGTTATAGAAATCTGAATGCCTTAATATAAAGAATGAATTATGATTCCTGAATGATGGCAAAGAAATTTGAAAAAGAGTCAGAAAATAAGGGACTATTTATAGTAATAATAATAATGTAATAATAATATCTACTTCCTAAATCACAGCACACAACTTTGTCTCATCCATTGGTGCTAAATTACAGCAAAACTTTTTTCCCCCCCTGTGGCTTTCTGCTGTTCTAGAAGTGTGGACTGTCAGCTATGTCTGAAAGCATTCTGTTTCCAAAACCTCTTAGCAGTGGTAGGTATACTAGGAAAAGTTTCTTTGGCATGTTTTTGATCCTCATATGCATTGTTTTCACTTCAAATTAAATTTCCAATTTTTAACCTTGCCTGCCTCAAATAAAGACTGCATTTTCCAACCTCCCTTTCAGCTATTTCTGTTCCTAGGACAGCTTTCTGGATGGTGAGGTTAAGCAGAAGTAGTATGCATAGTTTTGGAAATATGAAGAACATGATATCCTATTTCTGTCCTTCCTAATGCTGACTGGGACAGAGATGCAAAGCATGATGCTTCAGCAGCTATCTGAGACCAAGAGGAGAAGCAATACACAATGTGGGCTAGAAAGCTGCTGAAGCTGAGTGCCTGGCACCAGGCACTCATGATACTTGTTCTGGTCTGCATATACCTGGAATTCCACATGAGAGACAAATGGACTTCTATGTTACAAAAGCTACTACTGCTGCTTTGGATTTTCCATCTCTTGCAGCCAAACCTAATTATCACGAAATACGTATGGCATCTGGACAAACATACATTTGCTCTAACATATTATCTCCACTTTATCTTCCCTTTTAATCTGCCTTCCCAGCCTCTTCTCATCATTTATGCTTTAGCCCCATACATCACATCGTTTCCATTTTCAAACTGTTTCCATCTGTCTGTTGCAGGGCCTTGCTGCATTTTCACTTGCCCTAAGCTACGCTAGCCTCCTAGGCTCTGCTCTGACAGAAACTCCTGCCCTGATCCCCTTCAGGAAGAGAGAGTGTTTCCCAACCAAGTGACTCCATAGACTGTTTTGCTAACGAGAATACTTCCATAGCATGTTCTGCCTGTGTTATGGTGGAAAATAAACCAACATTATTGTCTACGATGTGCCAAACTCTGTACTTTTACATATGATTTCATTTCATCTTCACAATAACTCTGTAATATAGACACGCTCATCTCCATTGAACTGAAGTTTAGGGAGATTTGATTACTTGCCTCGGTTCTCATAACAAGCAACTGCCAGATCTAGGATATGAGCCACATCTATCTGAGTCTGAAATGAATGAAGTGTCCACTGTGTCTTGCTGCCTCCTAGGATAATGGTAAGTGACTTGAATTTCATAGGATTTTCAAATTTGTAAAGACGTTGGCCATGTTTTATTCATGTAAAGACTTTGGTCATATCTTACTCACTATTATGTCCCTTCCAATAGTAAAGCTCCTGGCCTTTACTAGATCTTCAAAGTAGATACTATTAAAACAGAGCAAAAAAACAAAAACAAAAACAAAAAACCAGGCCAAGGATGATTACTCAGTTGTACAGTCTTCCACGTTCAATCACCCAGCAAGGGAAGACCCTGCCAGGACCCTCAGAGTCTCAAGGGGACTCCTGCTGTGGGTTGAGGAGCTCAGATGTTATAATAGGAAGATATCTGGAGGCAATAACCTTCATATAGAGAACAATGTGAACAATCACTTGGAATTTTGGTGGAGATGACACGAAGAAAGTTGAACTCCTACTACTTCTAATCCATTCTGGTTTCAAGCAGGGATGGAAAAGAGCTCAGAACAGCCTTTAGAGGACCCATAGAAACCTTGAGAGTCTCCCGTTCTAGCATAATGACAGCGTACATCTCACCATCTAACTACTGGGTTGGCCAAAACATTTGTTCAGGTCTTTCCATAACATCCAAATGAATGTTTTGACCAACCCAATGTGTAAAATGCTGTATTACAAAGTAGCCAGGCTTAGTGAATAGTGAAACTAGAACAAAATCTGGATGTAGGGATGCTGACTTCAGTTGGGCTCTCTGTGCTGACTGTGTGTGTCTGATGGCAAAGCAGAAGCATGGCAGCTAATCCAGTGGTCAGAGGCACAGAACTTGCAATGAACCTCAGGGTTACGGGATGGTTTTTCTTCCCTGCCCTGTCCCCTCCTCTTCTTCCTCTCCCTCATCCTTGTGGAAAGCGCACTCTTGGATCTGCCGGTCCAGCTCTGAGAAGCTCCCTTCCTGATCCGAGCTGATGTCAGTACCGTAGTCGATCTCCTCCAGGCAGGGAGGCTCGTCATCCAGTTCTGAAGTGATGCTGTTGTTGCTGCTGCCTCTGCTGCGGGTTCCCAGAACACATGGAGAAGAAAGGAAGGAGAGGAAAGAAGGGAAGGAAACGGGAGGAAAAAAAGAGGGGAAGGGGAATAGAAATGGAGGTGGAGAGGAAGGAGGGGAAGATGAAAAGAGAAGTTACCCAAAGAAAAGAGCATTTATAATTCGTTGGAAAAGAGGGGGTGGGGATTACCTTCACTGAGTTCTAATCTTAAGAGCCCCCCACTCTTTTCAACGTGTTGCATATAGCACACTGTGTTCTCAACCACTACCTTGCAACAGGGGAAGAAAATCTGCAAAATCTATGGGCTTTCTTCTTCATTAGCTAGCAGAATCTGCATGTCTAAGTCCAGTCAGATTTCCAATCATGAGTTAGGGATGACCTCATTTATTTAACATCATCAGGGTCCTTGAGACTCAAAGAGAAAAATCAGAGGTGGCTGTCATTGACTCTCTGTGAATGTCATGTCAGTTATGCCCAGGAAAGAGTGGCACTGGAATTCTGATAGGTGGGATGCAAAAATCTTTAATGTTTCCCAATATAATGAACAGCACTATAAGTCATATTACACAGCTAGCCCTTCATCATGGTGGATGCCTGATTGCAATTAAAAATTAATAATAATCCAGGTGGACATTAAAGGAGAAAATAAGTGGAGATATAGCACTTTCTTTCCACTATGTTTGAACTCTCTCATCATCTCCCAGATCTCCCTCCAGTTTATTCACAAGCAGAAGATCACAGATACTGACTGACAGGAGACAAAAGGGAGTGGTGGAGTGAACAACAAACCTGGACCATATTTTATGAGCAGGAGAAATTTCCTCCCAAGGAACTGTATTATCATCCTCATTTGCATGAGGTACCTTCTTTCCTGAAGACTTCTTAATCACTCCCTACTTAGGATTTAACCAATTAGGATTAGCAGCAAGCTGGGTTTCTGCTCTGTGATTTATAGAAGGCGAACTCTTCATAAATCAGGCAGAGATGTTCATCCACTTGCCTCGCCATAAACAATGAAAATGGGGAATCAGCAACATGGTTACATTTCAGCTTGGGAAATGAATCAGAGGCCAGTTTCTTAATTGTTCACTAACTGTTAGGAGCCACTGCATGCTCTCTGGGTACTCAGTACCCTAAGCTGAAGGTCTGGTGGGACATATCATGAATGGAGAGGAAAGAGAAGTCATCTGAATCTTGATTCCACAGCATCACAGCATTAAGTTGTTATCATATCTTACAGGCTGAATGGTGGGTGATAAAGCAGTTGGATAAAGGAAGGTAAGAGCCACTCAGTCATAACACAAGCTCAGGATGGCACGCACACCGAGTGCCTTTGACACAACCGTCACCATGGTCAGTGTTGAGGTGACAATGCTGTACAATGCCAGGAACCTGAGTTTTAATCCTGACTGGGGGACCTTGGAAAATCCCTTTCACCTCACAGAAGGGCAATAATAATAGCTCAAAATTTGTTGTGAATACCAAATAAGAGGACACATGGATGCAATCTAGCAGACTGCTCTGCAAAATAAAAGTTATCAACAAGTTGTATTTCCCCTCTACTGTGGATACTGAAAAAGATGGTAAAACATGGCAGTGAAGGTGAGCAGGAACTGAGCTGTGTTGCTTCACACCTTCATTGCTGTAATTACTATTACAAAACCTTCCCAATCAGCAACACTAATAGTTTCTCTAAAACATAACTTTAATGATGACATTTCAAATAGCACTATTTACAGTAACTTGCAAGAACTCAGCCTTGCTTACTAATGCAATATGAGTATCAGTGGATGGGATGTTCTTAAAGGGTTCAGTTGGCAGGTATCCATGAGTTAACAGCAGAGTCATTCATTCCCTCATAAAGCCCTGTCTTCCCTCCACTGTGGAGTCTGCTCCAGTCTCCCACAGACTTGGACCTTTCCTACGACAGCCAAGTTAGCAGACCGTTCCTATTGTGATTATTCAAACATACCAGGCTGAATGTGTTTTCAAGTCTTGACTATTCACACAATTTCCTATATTGAAAATAATCTTCCAACTCCTCAACATCCAGCCAAATAAGATAGATCAATGTAAAAGTTCATCTTAATTTCCATTGAATGTCTGTTTGGATGACTCTTTATTGAAATGTCTTCATCTAAATATAAATTTTCATATATTCACTTAATTTGTTTTGATCTTTAATAGTTTTTATATAGTCTTATATTGTGAATAAGGCCCCTGCCTCTGATTCATATTTATATTAATCATAGATCACATAGAATGTGCTGAAAATACAGTAGAAACTCTTTGCGCCTCCGTGGACTATAGCCCACGGGGGTCCTCTGGCCATGGGATTTCCCAGGCAAAAATGCTGGAATGGGTTGCCATACCCTCCTCCAGGGATCCTCCCAACCCATGGATTGAACCTGTGTCTCCTACATCTCCTGCATTGGCAGGGACGTTCTTTACACTAGCATTACCTGGGATGCCCAGATAGGTGATAGATAGATAGATAGATAGATACCTGAAATAGATAGTAGATATATGAGATAGATAACTAGTTCCCTGTATAGTATATTGCATACACCTACTGTCATTAGGAAGGCAATTGGAGAGTGTGGGGAGCAGGGCTCCTTCACTAGCTTCAGAAAGGTGGCAGAAAAATGTCTTGACTGTGCACATCCATGAATTTCAGCAATGCAGTGGGAAAGTGTGTTACCTGCGTGCACATGCTGAAGTTAGGCTGGGAGTGAGAGAGTGCCATGACCACTGTTATATGCCAGTCTCAGCCATGGAAGAGGCAGGTATTGCAACCACCTGGGCTCTCTGGCTTCAGCAGGGCAGCAGTATAGTACCATGACCACTGGCCCCTGTCCATCTTAGCAAGGCAGCAGGAGGGTGCTCCCTGCAAACTTACTTGCCTATGCCAACAGAGTATGTGGAGAAGGCACTTACCAATACCTCCATCTCTGGGGAAAGATTTCACAGTTCCCTGCCCCCCAGCACATGTTTTTTAGGTTAGCAAATGAGTCTCTCTCAGATACACTCCAGGCACTTTGTAAGCTGCTATGTTTCTTTTTTTACCTCTGTGTCTCATGGTGGGTAAGACCACATGTGGGTCATTTAGAAGGGAAGTCTCAGATTCTAACAGCACCTTGGACACCAGCCTGATTGGTTCCCTTAGCCAGACATTTCAGCGGCTCATCTGTCGGGTGCAGACCCCAGGCCCTGAGTAGGACACTAGCCCCTTGCTCCTCTGTTAGAAGCACTGGCTGGATGAGATCCCTCCATGTCCTCTGGTGCAAGCTGGTTTTCAGGCACAGTTCTTGCCAGGACTCTGTCTCAAACTTTCCTGCCATTCTCAGTGTGGACCTTTAATTCTTTGTAGTGGAAAAGCAGGTCATTTAATTTTCAGATCTTTTTCAGAGGGAAACAATTCGTATGTAGCTGTAGAGGTGTGTCCATGCACAGAGGTAGGGTCAGAATCATCCTGTCCTGTCATCTTGATCCCACATTCATAAGTTTTATGTATGAATTAAACAATTAATTAATGAGCCATTAATTAATTGTCAGTACATTTTAGTCTTTTTAAATAAATATGGTAGACTTTGTCATTCATATTTATAAATAAGCATAACAAGTTCAGTTCAGTCACACAGTCGTGTTTGACTCTTTGCGACCCCATGAATTGCAGCACGCCAGGCCTCACTATCCATCACCAACTCTGGGACTTTACTCAAATTCAAGTCCATTGAGTCGGTGATGCCTTCCAACCATCTCATCCTCTGTCGTCCCCTTCTCCTCCTGCCTTCAATCTTTCCCAGCATCAGGGTCTTTTCAAATAAGAAAGCTCTTTGCATCAGGTGGCCAAAGTATTGGCATAATATATAGCTTAAATATATAATATATAGCATAATACATAGCTTAAATATATGTTGAGGTGCCAAAAAGTTCCTTCATGTTTTTCTGCACAATGCTACTGAAAAAACAGAATAAATTCTCTGGCTCATCCAATAATTAGCATATAATGAACAATGTAGAATATATTATAAAATTACATATCATTAATATGTTTATACATTATATATCATGCCTATCAATATGTTATTATTTCTATGTTATATACATTTATATATGCATTTTTTATATATTTATAAATTAAGAAGGCCTTGCTTATGTGCTCAGTCATGTCTAACTCTTTGTGACTCCATGGAGGAGCCCATCAGGCTCCTCTGTCTTTGGGATTTTTAGACAAGAATACTGGAACAGGTTGCCATTTCCTCCTCCAAGGGATCTTCCTGATACAGGGATTTAACCTGCATCTCCTGTGTCTCCTGCATTGACAGGCAGGCTTTTTAACCACTAGTGCACCTAGGAAGCCTTCAGCAGTTTAATTATATCCCTCACTTATTTGCCCAAATGTGTAAATATTCTGATGAGTTAGAGAACCACAATGCATATTCAGGGACTCCCACTTCTGGATAAACAGAAGACTCTTCCTCCTTTTTCTTCTTTATCTTTCTCTCTGGATATTATATATTAAAGAAACTGAAACATGGATGAAATGTGGAGAGAAGAGACCAGACTAGATGGGGATCTACTGGTCAAAGTGGTGGTATGTTCCCTGGATTTATTTATTTATTTATTTATTTTGGCCTCACATACTCTAGTCTGCACCGAAAAATTGATGCTTTTGAACTATGGTGTTGGGGAAGACTCTTGAGAGTCCCTTGGACTGCAAGGAGATCCAACCAGTCCATCCTACAGATCAGTCCTGGGTGTTCATTGGAAAGACTGATGCTGAAGCTGATACTCCAGTACTTTGGCCATCTCATGTGAAGAGTTGACTCACTGGAAAAGACCCTGATGCTGGGAGGGATTGGGGGCAGGAGGAGAAGGGGACAATAGAGGATGAGATGGCTGGATGGCATCACCAACTCGATGGACATGTGTTTGGGTAAACTCTGAGAGATGGTGATGGACAGGGAGGCCTGGTGTGCTGCAATTCAAGGGGTCGCAAA